ATAATGAGGATCACGGAGCTCCATCCCGAACTTCTGCCGAGTGAGAAATATCCACACAAATAGCCGAACAGCACTGGCAAAGCAGGGTGGTTGGTATGACTGCCAGGTGCACGGTGAGAGGGCAGGCACACCACACGCAGTAATCCAACGGGGTGTATACCCTGGCGTGAAGCAAAGGGACGTGGCTGCTGGCATTGTCGATTGTCGTGTGGTTGATCTGAGGAAATGCAAGTCTGCCGACCTGAGTTACAACCTGGCAAGCCTGTAATAGAAACAAAAGCATGAGTCTGAGTTGGTGCATGAGGGATGAAGTATGGCCGAAGGTCCGAGTGTGACCCAGTAGCTTTGCAGCATAGTCGGTTGTTCCCAATAGAAAGCATGAAACATGTCCGAGCAAAGCTTGAGGCTGGCAGAGTATCGGCAAGCCATCGCTCGTGTAAGGGACAAAAGTTGGGATCCAGTGGGGCAATTCTGCAATTGGACGGAAGCTCGCAAGAGCAAAGTGCACATTGGCCCTTTACTGTGAGCGATGGCACCTTTTTGCATTGGAGTAGACGGCGTGGGCCATTCTTAGGTTCAATGAGGACGAAATGATTAATTTCCTCCTGCTATAGTGAGCGAGACGAAAGAATCGCTGTCATAGCGCTCCCAATTGTCACTGGCCGAGTATTCAATCTGAGTGTTTCGTACGAGGCCTCCTCTAAAAAGTCACACGTCAAAGTCTCCAAAGCGAGTGTTTCACACGAGACTTCCTACAAGAGGCGGGAATTCTATTCAGAGCAAGCACATCAAGCAGCCCCGCCCTCCAATGGTTGCTGAAGTTTTGCCAAGGACGGCTTCGTCAGCCGGGCGGAACTTCAACGACTGCTGGAACGAGCAGGGTCAAAGCTGGCACAAGCACAGTGACCGTGGCGGATGTTTCAGATTTTTTGGACTCCGAAACGTGTTCAAACTGAAACCAAACTGCAAACTCAAGTCAAAACCTCATGGTTTATGACATTTGGCCCTCGGAGTAGTTTGTGATGCACACTGACAAGTTGGGTTGGACGGCCTGGGTTCCCACAAGGCCCATGTAGACCCCATGACTTATTCAACGGCACCGGTGATGGCAACCTGTTCAGAGGATTGAGGATCCTTGTTTGGGTGGGGCCACCATCATAGGCCTATAGCCTATAGGCCTGAAAGGACATTTCACTTTCAGATAGCCTCAACATCTGACAGCTTCGAATACCATCCCGAAAGACATAGCGGATAGCCCTAACACAAGACAAGGCGATAATAAGGGGAACTGCGGCAGAGAATGGTCCGAAGGTTCAAGGATCTCGCACCTGGTGACTTCGTCCAAGACGAACCATCGATCTGCACAATATCAGTTTGTTACATGTGTGGGACTTGGCGCTGCATCCCTCATCCTGGTCGGAGGCAACAGTTGGCCGAGAGAGACAAACGGCCAGGCCAAGGCTGGCTTTCGTTGACCGTTTCGTCGCCCGTTTCGTTGGCCAGCTGTTGTTTTTTCAGATGCATCAGGCGCGCAGACACGCAAGCGATGAAATTGGCTTGCCTCATTGGAACCACAGGTGAGCAGTTAGACTTGCCGGACATTACCGCATGCCCCCTCCTGACTCGAAGACCGTCCGAAGTCCTCGATGGAGCACTTGGCAACTCACGGGCCCCGTCTGTCTGATCTGCTCCGAGCGTGGTGCCGAGCTCCCCCCTCACAAACACACATTGTCCATCCCTTGACCAACAGGAGCGAGGTCTATACTGCATGCAATGGGTCTTACACCCCCCGAGAAGTCGTTTGCCAGCTTGCGTGTTTTGGTCATTGCCCAATTGGTTGAGGGGTGTCGCGCATTTTTTTCCGCCAGCTGAGGCGATGTCGTTCGTCGCTCAAAATCGGTCAATTCGCCAATCTTTCTTTCCGCCTCCTCGCACCGCGCTCCGCTCGAGGCGATGAGGTTCTTGACACCTCCGACGAGGAGTCTGGCCCGACCGCCAGCGGTGGCTGGGCACAGCAAGACCAGGACGTGAAGCGAGTGGCACTGTGGGGAGGAGATTGGAGGATTTTGATGGTTTATTTCTTTGAAGTTCATCGTATCCTGAATCCTCTTGAATGTTCTCGCCCGCACCAGGTGCTCAGTTCATCCTTTCTTTGAACTTGGGTTTGAAGATCTTGCCGATCTTAGAGGGTCCTGGTACAGGAATTTTGAGATCTGTGCTTTGACTTCTCTAGCTAGCTGGAATGCTGTAAAAGCCTCTGGGCCGCTCAGGCTCCAAGCGCCTGAGAGCAGCACATGCGGCAAGGAAAGCCTTTGACAACATGGGCCCCCCAGCTGCAGATGAGACTGGATTGACACAGGAGACACTTAGCTGACTTGGACATTTTGGTCGTCAAGGTGCTGCAGATATGGTACATGGGATGTACATGGTACTTTCTGGTCTACTTCAGAAGGGGAGGTGATGCGGCACTCTGTGAAAGTGGGAAGCTGCAGTGGAAGGCGACACCCAAGCCAAATCCAGACTCCCTAGAAAGAAAACCGTCCTCCAAACCCACAGGAGGCAAACGGGTAGTTTGGGGGACGGTAGGCCAATTCCGGCCCAAAATGATTAAACATCCACCACTCCGTGAGGTGGAGAGGGCCGCGTCCGGGTGTCCTTCGAGTCCTTGCACCGGCTCCTGGGTGGAAACTTCTCTTGAAAAGGCCAGGCATCGGAGTTGACGTTGGACGATTTTGGACCGATTTCGGATGGTTCAAACATGTTCAAACTAAATCAAACTAATGAAATGTGAAGATTTCAAGAAAAATGATGGCTTCTATCTGTCTATCTGTCTGTCTGTCTGCCTGTCTGTCTGTCTACCCATCCATCCATCCATCCATCCATCCATCGATCCATCGATCTATGGATCTACCTATCCTATCCTATCTATCGAAGTAGAAGTATAAATAAATAAATAAAAATATATATATATATATATAGAGGGAGTGTTGATCAAGAACTTGGGGACGGACGGCACCGTGAGCCTGAGCTAGCAGTAGGGACCCCTTTCACCCTAGTGGCACGGACGGTGAAGGAGTTCTTAAACGGTCTCCGCACCGTGCACAGGCAGACGATGGAATTCATCGCTTTTTGGACCGGCGATTTGGAGGGCCGGTCCGCCGACAGTGGAAAGGCACCCATCAAGGATGGCGCATCCTGTCAGTTCATGTAAGTTCAAAGGTCATGAAACTTCTTGTATGTCTTTTTGCTTCGCGTGTTTGCCTCAATTCGTGGATTGGTCTTCGGACCTCTTGACGATGAGCTCGTTTACAATGCTTGCGAGCTAAGCTAGGCACAAGTCCTAGTTTCGGTGCTCAGCATTTGCATCGGCACATGGGCCCTAGAATGCGCGGGCCTAGGCAAGTCAACTCTAGGTAAAAAGAAGGATATTGCCCAACATGTTCAGCCCCACCATATACCAAGCCCACACCAGTCAGTATATACATGTATGTACCCATAGGAAAGCATCCCTCCGACCCATGGCGTTGGCGACAAAATCCATGCAATGGTGTCTTCTTCCGCCTGGCAAAGCCATGCATCGAGAGAAATACAGATGCAAAACGATCCACTTGTTGCGGCTGGACCTTCCCCAGCGTCTTTACCGGACCTTTCATGAAACAAAAGCCTCCGACATTGGGCGCGCTCACCTTCCTGTCTCCTGGTCCACATGCCCAGTTGCCGGTGCAGGATTTTCCAGGCCCCAGTCACGCTTGATGGCCCAGCATGATGCTTTAGTACTTTGTAGAGGATTGTAGAGGCATTGTGCAGTTGTCGCAGGTTGTTGAACTGGCAGTACTTTGGCAGTCAGTCAGTCAGTCTTTTCTTCGAAGGGTTGCCTAGAGTTGGGCAACCAAGTAGCTGCGGGCTTTCCTTTTAATGGGGAATGGCTCATCTGTAGCCAAGATTGGTATCACCATGCCAGAGGCCTCATCAATCGATCCGCACTTGAGCCAAGTAGCATTCCGGCGGCTCATTCTTGGATATCTCCACAAATCCCCATCAGTTCCCAGACCACTTGGATGGAATAGATACAAGAGCCAATAAGAGCAAGAAGCCAAGGGCTGATGTCCAAGGAATTTCGGTGGTTCTGTTCAGGTTATATACAGTAGATGCTAGGACCATCAAGGTTGCTCTTGGAACTTGTAGATGGTCCAGCCATGTCCAGCCTGAAAACAGAGTAGCAACAACCATTGTCCGTTTGGTTGGGTTTATGGAGATGCCGTCAGTGCCATCTATGTCCCTTGAGTGCTTTTGCCAGGCCCATGCAATGAGTAGGTCGCGCACTGCATACAGCAATAGGCAATAGATTCAACAAGTGGCCAGGCAAATAAATCTATTACCCTGTTGCTAGCGAGACTCATCCCAGCGCTTGGGGGTTTAAATTAAACATCAACTACTTTTAGCAGTTGTGGTAGTGGTCGACCCTTCAAATGAGGAGGTGTGTCGTGGGTAGCCGCTGTGGTTGCGAGTGGAGATATTCGAGATTCAGATATATAGTCCTTTTCCGCTTTGTTTCGAAAGGGAAAGGGGTTAATAGGCCTTGGGAGCATGCAGGTCTGTCTTAGACACACCGAGAGCGAAATGCCTCAGTTCAAGTCGTAGGTGCCAGGACGCGCTTCAAGAAGATGCTCTGGCAAAAACGTCGAAGCGCCTCAGAGATTTTATTTCTCATGCACATCGTTATGACTAAGAAGAACCCTTGCAGGTTCTAATCGTATTATGATCCTTTCTTTGCCCTGACAATTGTGCTGGTGAGGCTTCCTGTCCTACAGAGCCACAGAGACCCCCAAGAGGCTCCCCAAATGCTTGGACACTTTTTGTGCCCAACGAAGCTGTGTCGTTTGGTCAGCATGACCCTAGATAGTGGTGCAGTCGACCGTCGACGAGGATGGTTGTCAACTAGCATGAGTAGGAATATGTTCTCCGTAATTCGTATTGATATGACATGGTCGCTTTCGCAGGAGCCCATCCACATCCAAGTCGGCGACCCTACAATGCTGCAGGCGTTTGGAGAGGTTTTGGTTTCGGACCAGAAGCCGGGCCCGGGTGCGCATGGATTTTGAGGCCCTTTCAGTGGAAATCGTTGCTTGGTTCACGCGAAACTCGGGTGTATGAGTCATGTGCTCATGTACTCGCCGCTACTCGGTGGCCCCTCAAGAGATTGACTAGGATGTACTAGCCTTTTTCTTTTTCGGTCTTCTCGCTTTCGGTTGCGCTTCTATTCGGGCATCGGATCACCAGTTGCGGAGTCAGAACACGTCAACGAGTCAACAACACACCAACTCCAACTCTTCTCCCATAGCCCCCCACGAATGCGTTGAGTGTGTGCTTTGATAGCCAAGCTGCCAGGCCAATGAAGATATCAGCCAGCAGGTCATTGTGGTGGATCCAGAGCACAAGGATTGTACCCTGTTGCAGGTTGGCGAGAGTTGGCCGGGGAGCTGGAGAGAGGTCAGCCGGCTGGTGGAGTAGTAGGTGGGAAAGTGAAACATATTTAAGCCATGAACTGCAAAGTTTCATATTGAGAACCGCAAAGATGTATAGAATTGACAATTGGGGGACCATCGAAACAAGCAACGAGTGGAACTGGCCACGAGAATCCGGTGCTTCGTCAGTTGCTTGGTTTAGGACAAGCCATTGTCACATGGCAGAGCCGCAGATTGCCATTGCAGGTCCTGCGTGGAAACCCCCCTCCTGCGCGGATTTTGGTATTTGTGGCCATGCGGAAGCAGTGCGACTTGGTGGTCCGTGCTCTTCGGCGGAATGGCGCAACTGGTCCAAGAGCGCCTTTGGGTGGGGCGGGGGCGGCGAGTGGCCTCGATGGCACCGGTCGTCTTACCGGGCTGGATTGCACAGCTCTCGAAGCGATTGACATCTGAAAAGGACCATGCGAGGAGCGGATTTCTCTCATAGCTGTAGCAGTAGCCCATCACTTTTCGATCATAGGCTTCCCTACCAAGAATCGGATGCACAACTTTTGCCATCGCAGTCCCTTCATTTTCTCCCAATCCTTAGTCCCTAGGCCAAGTGTTTGCAGCTGTGCATCGTTTCCGATGCTGTTTGCAACACAGACCTCGCTTGAAGGCGAGGCTCATTTGGCCCTTTGAAGGTGCTCTGAACAAGGGGGCTTTCTGCCAGGATCTTCCAGAACTACCCATGACCACCTGGAGAGCATTGAGCCATGGGGCCATCACTGTATCTCCGGAACAATGCCCCCAGAGAGAGAGAGAGAGAGCGCGCGCACCGACAGGTACTGCCGATTTGACTGACTCCCTCTTCCAATAACAATCATAGTCAGTCTGCTCGGGAATGACGTGGCCTGGCATGCCGGCCTGAGGTAAAGGCTAACTCTATGCATAGCGACAAGGACCAACAGGAGCAGCAAAGGGAGAGAGAGAGAGAGAGATGGGTCTTCATTTGGAGTTTCATGTACAAAGTGTTTCTCACCGGAACATGTTCATGATATCCAAATCATATTCCACCTTTGACCATGTAGGGGATCAACGTATATAGTATTACATGGTTGACTCAAAAGTTGCACGTGTTCCCAGATTCAACATACAGTCCAACTGCAATATTCACATGCAGTATCATACAGTCTTCCTTCATGCTCCATTCGTTTTCGACTTCCGGCAAAAAGTGCGAGGAGCGGGAGGAGGCATTGCAAGACTTCCGCACAGGGCAGGTGTGTGTGCTGGTGGCGACGGATGTGGCGGCACGTGGGTGCCTTGGCATGCTGTCTTTGTGCCAGGCGTGGTCACGCAGGCCAAAGGGACCACTTCTTTAAAGGAAAAATCACTCTCAGCATCTGACACAAGGTTTTGGCTATGTGGGCGGTTTCAATGTCATTTCCCATTTGATCTCCCCATTAGACTTCAAATTGGTGTTTGTGAGGGGCTGCTGAGAATACTGGTAAGTTGCGACCTGTGGGAATTTCTTGTTTGGAGACTGTTTGTGCCTTCACTCACCTCCTACAAGCTCCGTTTTACATTTGGTGAGGCTACTGCACGATCCAGCCAATTTCTTGTGCACCTCGGCACGTGCCGTGCAATGGCTCGCTGCCTTACAACTGCAGCGAATTCCCCCCATGGGTCGCGACGTCCCGTATTGAGAGGTTGTAAGGCGGCGGCTGGGGTGGCGAGTGGGCATCTTTCCTCCGGGGGTGCGGACGTAGGAGTTACGTCAAGTGACCAGGCTGGACATCAAAGGCATCAACTTGGTGGTGCCCCATGGCAGATATGGGAACTCTGCGATTGGAGTTGGTGTGTTGGTTGTGGACCTCCTGGAAGATGGTCAATAATAACAATAATAATAATAACAATAATAATAATAATATATATATATATAACTATATAGTAATACTATGTATTAATATGATACATGTTTGATTTGAATATGCGGGTTTCTGAATTGTCACTTGTTCAGGCCCCCTTCAGAAGAGATTAAATACCTCTTGTCTTCCTTGTTGATGGACCATTTCATCCGCAGTTGGGGTCTTTCAACAATATCCGGGTGTCTAGAGTCTAAAGTCTCAATCAGAGTGGATGGAGGACCCCCTTCAAGCGTTTTTTCTTTATGCGGGCTATGCAGTGCAAATCAGCCATTCGTAAACATTGGGACACTTCTTGGGGTTCGCTGCGCCATGTGAATTTGCCACGAAGCAGTTGCGGCCACCTAAGCAGATCCAACAAGAAATGTGACCCGTCAACCTCCCATGGGTGACCATCATGTCACCCAGGGCCTCCAACCGCCATCCAATGTCACCCGTGAGGTCACTTCCCCAGTGGATCCCAGCGGGGAACCTGGGTTTCGAGGTCTGCAGTCTGTGCAACCCCTGGTTGCTGTTGTGACATCTTTGTGACTTAATCCACAGGGTCACCGCAGCGCACCAGTTCTCATCAATTCCTGTGGGAGGTTTTTGGGAACAATGGAAGAATTGAACATTTCGCCGCGCATCTCAGAGCTCCTTGTGCTGAATCGTACTCCAGACACAACGGACAGCCCAGCAGAAGACTTCGGCTGCGAGGGGAACTTGTGCAAAGAAAATTGGGGTGCTCTTCTCCAAACGTTGCGGGATAAAAGAACCCTTGGAAACAACGCCCTTCATGTTCAGTGTGCCACTCCCTCCTAGACAATGGTCATTGGTAAGAGTCAGAGAGTCACTCACCTCCAACTTTTGCTGGCAGTCATCCTCCTGGGCCGGATTGGTCGGCCGATTGCACCGGATGGAGCAGCCCATCAAGTCCGCGCTGTCCCACAAGAGGGCCGCTGGCTCAGGGGGAGCCAGACTGGAGATGCCAAGTGTCGGTTCTTTTCTGCGCCAATGGGAAGCTGCTGGAGGTAGATTGCGAAGTTGTGAAGATGATGTCATTGTTAGTCGGCTCTCTTTAGCCTTCTATCTCTCTCTCTCTCTATATAGAGTTATATATCTATATGACTCTAGGGGGTATGTTGTGACGAGCGACTAGTCCATAGATCCGTGGATGGCGCTTTTGATTCTGAAGCTGGGCCATCCCAATGAGGGAGGAGCGGTTCTTGGGTTTCCTGGCCAGGAGGGTAGAGGAGAACTTCCTGGGAATACAGCCTTGTGACATCTTGTGACAGACTGAGGATGGTGATAAACGAGTGGCGAAGCTCCGTCCGGATGGAAAGAGGAGTTGAAAGCTGGTCCATTTTTCCCTACGGCTCTGGCAGGTTTTAAGATTGCTTTGGCAGTACGGCAGGCGCTCTTTTGTTTTCCATTTGCTTTCCTCTGTGTTGTGCCACTTCCTCACCACAAAAGAGAAGGGAAGAGAGATTGGCGGTCAGTAATCTGATGGTGCGGGACACATGCTATGCCCATCATTCGGTCCAATCTACAAGACCTCCCTCCTGTTGAAGCCATTCCCCAATTCGAGGGAATTGGAGGTTTGCTGGTTGGGTGAAGGACTTGGAGGTTTGCTGGCTGGGTGAATGGCATCAACCCGTGCACGCTGCGGTGTTGCAAAGTCCTTAAAATGGAGAATATATATATATATATGAATACATGGGGGCCTCCTGAAACATGAGCCAATTCAACTGTGCAGATTGGAGAGCGGTGCTCACGCTGTGCTCGCTCCCTTCCCTGAAGATTTAAGATTTCATTTGTTTGTATAGGACCCTTGAAGATTTGAAGGGCACCTTTGTATTCCAACAATTGCTCCCGGGTGTGATCACGCAAAGAGAAGGCAACTGCACACCTCATCCTTTCTTTACAAGTGAGGCCGGTGCCACACGGGAGAACAACGCAAGTGAGTTGAAGGGCATCGCTACTAGGAGCAAGAGACGCTACTAGGGGCTCGTGGCATCGCTACTAGGAACAAGGACGCTACCAGGAGCTTTTTCTAAATGGTCAGGACTACAACACCTCAGCTCGCAGCAGTTTACCTCACAAATCGTCACAACACACCCGGCTCCAGCCCCGTCATCATGGAGTCAATTGCCGGTGTAGCAAGATCATAAACACACGTTGTTTAGTTCTTCAATTATGTTGTTTTTCCTTGATTTCCTTGGACAGGACATTTGTTAGTTCCCGTCTTTTTGCTATCTACTTGTTATCCGGCTGATCACGCCTATATACTCCGCCGATATGTCCAATATGTTGTGTGCATGTGGTGCAGACCGAACGCCACGTTTGAGGAAGAAGGTGACGCTCGAAGGGCCCTTGAAGCTCGATGAGGCTGAGAGTCGTGAGAATGAGATTTGATCGGATTGAAGTGGCAGAGATCCTTGGAGAGATGGTAGTTTCAGGTAATTAGGAGAGACTGTAGGCCAAGTTTGCTTGAGGCATTTTGAGGCGTTTGTTTCCTGAACCTGAGACGTCGAGTGTCAGAGGATTCTGACATATCAGATTTATCAGAGGCTAGAACTCTTTTTGTTCCACCTCACCTTTGCAGGCTTGTGGCAATTGACATGGGTGTGGGTATGATTCCTCGTGTTGACGAGCCACTCAATCTCCTAAGCTCACGTAATAATACGGAAGTGTCAATCGAGATTGGAGGAGGTTCGACCCCATGTGCAGTAAGTATATACATGGTTGCCGCCCAAAGCCAAACCAAAACAAAGAACATATGACACACACACACAGATATATATATATATATAGTAGATACATGATACATGCCCCGGCCCACAGTGTCAAGCTAGCAGGCTTGACGGGCTAAGTAGCCTGCCTTCCCACAGACCTCTGCCTAGTCCTTCTCGTTGGTGTTGGCCTCTTGCCCTCTGCGTTTTCAGGTCGAAGACCTCGAGGTGCAAGCCATCAAGACTGACAGTGACCTAGTCAGATCGAATGCGCAAGCAGAGCCAGAACCAGAGACAGTTTTGGTCTATATTCATTCATGCGATGCACTAGAATGATCCCGAGCGGATTGAATAGGGTTTAATCACAAGACAGACATGGGCAGGGGTCAATTGATGGTCCTTTTGTGGGGATCACCATCTAACTTGAGGGTGTCGCGCAGATCGAGAAATTGCTTGGGCTTCTGTCTCGCTCTCCTTGCTTTTAGCTAGGGCTTGGAGCAGCCTGACCACGTGAGATGGCTTCTCACTCCTTGCTGGATTCCAGAAAACAACCATCTTCACTGAACCCCAAAGCTGGACCAACTGGCTAAGCGGTGTTTTCTCGAAACGAAGAGGCATGACAGATTCTCACTAACTGGTGAAACTTGTTTTGGAAGATGTCTTGGGATTCTCACTCTGGAGGGCTCAGCCTAACACCACCGACATCAACTGGGAAGCATGCTTTTGCCACAAACACTCAGCTTCAACACAAAGCAGTTTTTGCACACATGCTTTCTACAAAGTCACCCTTCTGTAGTCATGCATTGGACAGCGCTTCTATTTGCAGGACCATCCGCCACTGAGAACTGGGGAGCCACGTCTACCGGGCTTGATTTTGTCTCGACGGGGGGGCCCCCAAAGACCTACATGGTGACGGAGCATGTGAAAGAGCTTCTCTACGAAATGCGATAAAGCAAGTCGCCTTTACCACATTATCCTTGCGTGACGATCCACCAAGGTGAGATTATAGACATCCGGGATCCCTCGCCTCCACCGAAGAAGTCTCCCAGCATCTTGGCCAAGAATCTTGGCGCGCTGGTTCCATGCCGTTCACGCAGCGCACGCGCATGCTGGCTTGGGTGCTTCCAAGCGGGTTTGGAATGCTTTTGTTATTTTATGGAGTCCGCAATCTTTCTAACCTTGCATGCGCTCACAAAAGTCATCAGACATCATTCTGGATTTCAATTTGCCACTGGAATCCTTTAGAATGTATCTCCAAGCTCCTGGGCTGACTCAGGATGGCAGAGGCCCTCAAGTTGCATTTGCTATTCAACATCATTCAGCTATTCTAATCTGCACCAGGATTTGAGCCTGATGCATTTGATATCACGGATGACACCTTGAAAGGTTGTGGTGAACATCCGTTTCAGAAGCACACAGCCACCCACCTTGGTCTGTGGATGGATGCGATGGATTCCGCACGCTTTTCTGAAACGGGCCCACATGCACAGCCAGCAGATATATCAGGCCCATCCAGCTGCAGAAGCTGAGGCTACACTCCGAACCCAAATGCTCCAAATCTGGAGGAGGAAGTGGATCTCTTGGAGACCGGACTTGCCAGGCACTGGACACCAGTCGTTTGCGGCGGAACATCGTCTCTTTCGTTCATTTGATGGGGATTGATGGAGGTGGAAGAGACGGCACTATATACTGAGTTGCACAACTGCCATGTCCAGAAGCATAGAGATTCACTCTCAGACTTGTCACTTGTCTCCTTTTGTTGGCTGGGTCCGCTCTTCCCTGTCTGACGTGAATGTGTCTTCCAGCATCTTCGAGCCCTCCCAGCCCTCCTGGGTTCGCAAGGTATTCGCCTTTTTTTTCTCAGGTTTTTCTCCTTCCAGTGCTTGCTTTTAGCCGTGCAGGTGCGTGTCCGACTTCCGGGCCCACGCTGAAGAGATCGTCGCCAAGCACTTGGCGGTGCTGGAGGAGGTTCAGGCGCCGCGTGTAGCAAGAGGTTCTGAGACCCTGATAGTAGTCCTTTGGAAAGCCTGAATCTATGTGGAACATGGAGCATCAACCTTTGGGCCCTTTGGGCCGCCTCCAGGGCACAAACACCTGGGGGTCCGTTGCAATACTGTAGGCCATCCACAGCTCTGAGATGTCCAACCTGGTGGCGGAGAACAAGCTCTTGCGGGAGAGGCTAG